TTTTTTTTTTTTTCCTCCAAAATGCAGGTTAGAGATGATCGTGTCTTGAATCAGGTTAGTAGAGATCTAGGTGGTAAAAAATGGTCAGACTGGACATATCTGAAGGTAGAGCCAACAGAACTTGGTGATAGATTGGATATGGGTTATGAAGGAATAAGAGGAGTAAAAAAATGACTCTAAGGATTTTGGCTTAAGCTATTAGAAAAATGGAGATGCCGGGGCGCCTGGGTGGCTCAGTCAGTTAAGCGGCTGCCTTCGGCTCAGGTCATGATCCAGTGTCCTGGGATCGAGCCCCGCATCGGGCTCCTTGCTCAGCGGGGAGCCTGCTTCTCCCTCTCCCTCTCCCTCTGCCTCCCTACCACTCCCCCTGCTTGTGCTCTCTCTCTTGCTATCTCTCTCTGTGTGTCAAATAAATAAATAAAAAATCTTAAAAAAAAAAAAAAGAAAAATGGAGATGCCATTAAGAGAGGTAGAGAAGGATGCAGGAGAAGAAGTGAACATTCAGTGTGGAGGAAATCAGTTTGAGTTAGGATAGGAGATATCTATAGTTCTGGGGAGTTATGAGGGAAAGTAGAAATAGAAATAGTTGTTAGGGAAAGTAGAAAGTGAGGAATAATAAATGTATAAAAGGTATTTAAAGTCATAAGACAATGCAATTATTTAGAGAATAAATGCAGATAGTAATGAGAAAAGATCCTGGGACTAACCTGGAGCAGCCCATTTTTTAGATGTTAGGAGAAGATGAAAAACCAGAGGTGTAGCCAGAAAGATCAGAGGAAAACTAAGCCAAGTAAATAGTTTCTTGTTTGGTTTTAATAGTGTCAGATCATTAGGGCCAGCTTAATCAGCTGCCTCTAAAATTTCTTAGAGTACTGGATAGTCCAAAATAATTAAATTGTTCTTTAAAAGGGAACTATTTAGTACATTTTCTGCAATAAGATGGTTCATGATCCAGGTTGGTAAATAAAAATAGACTGTTCCACTTAAACATACCTTGAAAGAACATATTTGGTTACCAGAAAGGTTTAATCTTTCCAGTTGTTCATTGGGATCAAGACATCGACCTTTAATTTAAAAAACAAGATGAAAGAAAAATTAAATTTCTTGTTTTCCCTCCTGTTCATATCCTGTCATATTTCTTAGTTGTATATGATCATTTCTTGCATATAAGTAAGGCTAATAGTAACACTGTATAGTTAGTAACAGCTGATTAATGGTTAGTATTTTCACATCCTATAATCATAGATTTAGAAATGCTTTGCAAAATATCATACAAAAGAGTCTAAAAAAAGAAATCTAAGAATGTACTTTTCATACTGATAAAAAATTATTGTAGCATTATCTCATATTCCAAATGAAATAATACATACCAATGCTGCTTATTAGATTTCCAGCAAGGTTAAGGTCATTTAAATTCTTCAAAGTTTGCAAGCCCTGAAAATTTAGACAATATATCATTTAGAGGAAGTCAGTAATATATATATTTATAAATGATCTGATCAATCTGGTTAGTTCTCCAAGTGTTTTGAGCACTGGGTACTGTGTACTTCACAAGCACAGAAGTAAGTAGGTGCCTTCAAGCAGTCATCTTTGTTTCTCTGGAACGTGGAGAGAATTATTGGAAGAAGAGGGAACAGGGAGGGGAGGGGAGAGGAAAGGAGGAAGATGAGTAGGAAGAAAAACACATCACACAGAATGTGTTTATAATCTTTGGCAATATATATATATAACTTCTCTAAATCTCTATTTTTTTTAACTTTCAAGGAAGAAATAACCTACCGCCCAAGCTTGGTGGGAGGAGTAAAGAAAACATCGTATATGAAGTTTTCTTTCTTCTTTTTTTTTTTTTTTAAGATTTTATTTATTTATTTGACAGCAAGAGAGGGAACACAAGCAGGGGGAGTGGGAGAGGGAGAAGCAGGCTTCCTGCTGAGCAGGGAGCCC